CTTAGGGTCAGGATCGCAATCCTGTAGTCACTGCTTATTGGCGGTGTGGCTTTGCATGGATTTTTAAGCACACTGAGCCTTTGTTTCCAAGTCCGGGGGGGGGGGGGGGGGGGGGGGGCTCTGAGAATTGACTGACGGGGTATGTACGGTGCTCAGCACATCATGCCTGGCAATAGAAAGGATTTAACTTGATTGGTAGTTGCAATCACATTAATAATGATTTGACAAACTGAGCACCTATCATGTGCCAGGCCCTATGCCAGATGCTAGGACACCGTAAATGTGCTAAACAGCCCAGTCCCACACTCATGGAGTTTATAGTCTAACACAGCTGATATTGACAATGGACAGATACAAGAAATGCTCATACTCTGTTATAACAGGGATGGAACTGCATGTCTGGGACATAACTTTTGATTCCTATGGACCTAGTAAAAAGCCGTGCATTTGAGAACCTAGCGTCTGAACTTACAACTAGAAGGGAACTTAGATCTTCCATTGCTTGAGAACACAGCTAGGGTTCACAACTGGTCCTATGCTGGTCCTACCGCATACCACAGCCAGGCCTCTTAGTGTAAGAACTGCACAGCTGTGGGCTCTGGGCGTTTCCCACACACTGTCAGGTAGCATGACTCAGAAACGCTCCTCCCAGGCAAAGCCTCATATCACGATTGTTTTTTTCCCTTCCAGTTTACCTTTCAGGCTTTTCCTGGCATGGCTGATGAGAATACGGTATGAAAGTAATTTTTTAAAATTACAGGCCTCAGTCACCTTTTGTTGTTGTTGTTGTTGTATGTTAACAGTGATGCAACTTCAATCCTGATTAAAATATTAAATAGATGACAACAGTCTTGGGGATGAGGGGAACACCAGCCTTCTAAGTGAAACCTTTGATTTTAGGGACCCCAACACGCAATGGGATGGGCCATTGAGGTTGGTGATGGTGCAAGAGCCCAAACCCTGACCCTTGGGGAGGCCATGACACAAGGATATAATCTCCTGATTGACAGCGACAGGATCACCGTGCAAGTGTCATTCAATGCCACTGGAGTGACCCACTACACGGTAGGTGTGAATCTTTTTGTACTACCATCCAGGCACAGACCAATGCTTCCAAATCCAAGTGTGTTTTTAAATCAACTGTGTCACCAAATTAATTGAGAAAAAACTCATTCAACACGTATCTGAATACCTACTATGTGCCAAGCATACAATGAGTGCTAAAGATACGGTGAACAAAATGAGATGGTCCTTGCTTTCCAATCCATTCTCCCTCATCTGTATACATGATATAATGCAGAGCTGGGGTGCTACCAAAGTCTTCTTTGAACTAAGGAGTTCTGTTTGTTATCATTGTCCGATATTATGTCTTACAGTAGGTATTGGTGTTTTGGGGGCCACCAATCAAGACACTAGTTGAATGACTTAATGTGCCAATGTCCTTAGAATAGGTCTCAGCACCTAATTGGTCCAATGTCAGCCATTTTCAAGAGAACAGTCCTGTTACACATGGAGTGTAAACAGATTGCTGAGTCTTGTAAACATTCTCTCTGAAGGGTGATACCCTAAAATAGTCATAAGAACAGCTTTTGCTCATATCTGCCTAGAAACGATCAGCTACATGTTGTGTCGGTAGACAACCCTAGCTTGCCAGATGTGTTTAAGTACAAGATTTTCAAACTAGAACAGCTGGCAGAACAATCACTGGACAAAAATGCCTAAATTCTCCTTGGGGCCAAACAGTACCCACTACTTGAGGATATGCTTACCCCAGCTATTCTTCTAGCAGTTTTTAGAAATTCAATTAAACCAATGCCTTTGAAAATGCTCCTCCCCCAACCTCCCCAGCAAGGTAACAGTCACCTCTACACGGTGCCTCTGAAGCTTATCCATGTAATCTTTGGACAAAAGACCATCTTATCATCACAGGTGACCTGTATCACAGGTAAGGCCCTAGGAAGGGGCAACTCCAGTTGTGGGGGACATTGTTCTGGGGCTTCAAAGGCTGATCATAGGCATCCTGTCGGTCATTCCTTCCAGGTCCTGTCACCTGTAACGCCACACACATGACTCTCACCATGCCAGAGTTTCCCGGGAAGTTAAAATCCGTGAGCTTCGAAAATAGAGACATTGCCACGAGCCAGTTACACGCTAATGGGATTGATGTGGAAGCGAGAAATGGCTTGAGCCTGCACTTCAGCAAAATGCTTCTCAAAACAAAAGTACGTTCCCTTCCCAACCACTGAGCTTTATGGAAGCCCGACTGAAATCAGTCTTCTAGCTAATCCTGACACAGCTGATGACTTGTGCATAAATCATAATTGCCGGTGTAATAGAGTCCAACTTTGGAAGGCCTCCTCTGAGCACTTTGCAGAAGTGAATTCTTCAGGAACTGAAGTTCACTTGCCAACAACCTCTGCGATGGCAGCTTTCCCAAGTTTTTCTCAGCTCATTGAATAGTGCAAACCGATTCCAGGCTCTAATGACGAACCTCTTAGCCCCTATGAAAGACAGAACAACTAGAGCCAAACAAAAAAGGGCCCCACACTGTCCTCACTGAGGCCAGTCCTGACAGATGCCACTGCCAGGGACACCGGAGAGCGCACTTAGGTCAGCGTATGTGTGTTCTGAGATAACATCACATCTGCAGAATCCTTTTTGCTCAGACCTGGCTTAGCGGGTACTCAGCTTGTCTTTGGAATTTGATCTGTTAATTCAAGCTTTAGTGTCGGGTACAAAGAGCATTGGTGTGGGTAGATTAGGGCATGAGTTCAAAGCAATACATTTCCCGTCTAGGGAAGCGTCCTGATATGCAGAAGTGATAGGGGCTCTCTTGAAGTCTGGCGTGTGCCCTGTAGGTATCCCGGGCAGCCCCACAGGCCGTGGCCATGGTCATAAGGGGCCTTCTTCTCTCATTGCAGGTCTCAGAGAAATGCCTACCCTATCTGTTCTACTTATCTTCACTCAAGCTGACTTTTTACTTTCAACGGGAGGTGGTATCCATGGTGATTCACCCTGAGTGTCTCTGTGAGTCACCGGTTTCTGTAGGTAAAGACCCCCCCCCGCCTTTTTTTTTTTAAATGGTTTCTACATTCTCTATTTCTCCCTGGGCCCTTCTTGTGCATGTGGGAAAGGATTTCGAAGTCTAGACTCTGTATTGCTTACACTTTGAGGAAACAAAAGACTGGTCAGATCAGAAATACCTGCCTGGCTGCTATGACAGGGCCCTAAGGAAGATAACACTTCCAAAATATACATACAGGTAGATCTCACTTTGTTTCATGGATACGTTTCATGATAGGAGCCTGAGCCCACCATCTAAATAAAATTGCTTCAGACCTGTATCGAGAGGGACTACAAAAGTTTCAGATTTCCCCAAATGCCTGCAAATTCCTCAGGAAGAATATGGAATGGCTATGTCCTTTCTTTCAGAGGTGACCTTAGTCCCTGTGCATCTGTTATTTGCTGATCTGTATCAGGTCAAGCGAAATAGGAAAACTTAGTTCCTGCCTCCATTTCTCCCCAAACCACTCAGGATTTGTAAGTCTTGAAAAAAGGGCCATAATGACACCTTAGCCATGAATCTGACTCGGAATCCCTTCAGCCCCTCAGCAGGGTTTTTCACGGGGCTCTTACCCCACGTGGTGCTTCTTTGCATGTCTGTTCACACACGGCAGCTTCGCTGTTGTCCAGACGCCCGTTATCTCCCCTCGTAACTCAAGCTACTTATCCAGGTGTTTTCCCCAAAGACTGAGGATGCATCCTGGTGTCTCCTAGTGAAAACCCGGATGTTTCCCTCCGCCTGCACACTTCAATGTTGGCAGGTGACAATATTCACGTGGCAGACAAATTTTGTTCAACTCGCACCACTATCTAATCACAGGTGAGCTGTGTACTCAGGATGGGTTTATGGACATCCAAGTCTACAACCACCAAACAAGACCAGCTCTCAACCTGGATACCCTCAGGGTGGGGGCTTCCTCCTGCCAGCCGACCTTTAAAGCTCCGTCTCAGGGGCTGGTGCACTTTCATGTGCCCCTGAATGGATGCGGAACAAGACATGAGGTCAGTAACGGCGGAGAGCAAAAGGGTTTAAGGCTTACCTTTGGCATAACTGGTAAACCACGCTCTCTAACCTCTCTCTAACTTTTAAGTTCAAGGGTGACAAGGTCATCTATGAAAATGAAATACATGCTGTCTGGGCAGACCTCCCTCCGAGCACAATTTCCAGAGATAGCGAATTCAGGTATGACAACAACTGCTACTTGACGTTTGAAGCTCCAGGTTCAAAGTAAGCAATCTTTTAACCTCAAGTTCTTCACACCCCAACGACTCTTATAGAATGACAGTGACGTGCTATTACGGCAGGGGTGACAGGCTCACCAACATCAGTGTCGGAAGTGTTCCCCCTCCAGTGGCCTTAGTGAAGCCGGGCCCACTCACCTTCATCCTGCAGACGTACCCTGGTGAGACAGGACAACCTAAGACATCTGCTTAAGTGCTTCCGGGAACTTCCCGAAAATGAACTTGCTGGTACCCCCAGGCTAAGGGAGTAGCAGTGAGGCTTCTGCTCTTGCTGCCACCACCCCCTAGTATGCTGAGCACGGTTCCATTCCTTTCTATTCCGTTTCAGATAACTCCTACCTGCAACCGTATGGGGACAAGGAGTACCCTGTGGTGAGATACCTCCGCCAACCGATTTACCTGGAAGCGAGGGTCCTGAACAGAACCGACCCCCACGTCAAGCTGGTCTTGGATGACTGCTGGGCGACGCCCACCATGGACCCAGCCTCTCTGCCGCAGTGGAATATTGTCGTGGATGGGTAGGTATTCTGCACTGTAAGGCAGCCCAGCAACCCCATCGGACTGCCGGTGAAAAGAGAAGAAAACCTTCTTGGGCTTCAGAAACACTATGTCCCCAAGGCCCTGATTTTTGTTCTGGTTTCTTAGTAAGCGGGAGGCTACTAAGGTGGTTCACGCTTCCCTGTTACCCTTGAGGCTAAAAGAATGGAATCATTCCCCAGGAAGTCAGGCTCTAATACTCTTTATGTGGAGAGAACACAGCTTGGGTTCCTATCCAATTACCGAACACCTACTGTGTGCCAGGTGCCACGCATTTCTGAACCTCATCACTCCAGGAGACACCGGGCGCCTCACTTCATGAGGAAGAAAGCCAAGCTTGCTGCTTACGCAAGTGGCCCAAAGTAACACGGAGCAAAGGGTGGCACCCGAATGCCCCTTTGACTCTAGACCTGAACACCATCATGCTGTGAGGTGTGACTCCACACACTCGAGCACTGTTTGTCCTCTCAGCTCTGCCTGCAGGAGTCTGCACCTACACGGCACCACTCCTTATCTTTCTCAAAGCTGTTGTCATCGGCTGCTGAGCTCTTACCCTCCAGGTACACGCCTGCCCCAGGACCACAAGTAGCCAGTGCTCACTCCTTCATTCCACTGAAGACTGGTCAAATGTCCCCTTCTCCGTGAAGCCCACCCTGACTCTCCTGCCCCCTTCCCCTGCTCCAACTCTTCTTTGCTTCTTACCACCGATCATAGTCCTTTCTTTGTTGCTATTGCCCCCTGCTAACATCTAAGACACAAAATGACAGGAGTTCTCTACCTTTTTTTCTGTCGCTGACCTATATACTAACTGCCTAAGACATAAGAGATACTCAGAAGAGTAAGAAGCATTAAGCCAGTGGTATCTGAAGACACACACACAGAACTTGTAGCTCTTGCTGAGTTTAGCTGGCAAACAAATAGGTACTTCAATTGTATTAATACAATTGTCATAGTAGGAGAAAAAAAAACTAGCACATACAACTTACGATTTCATGAACACTGCTGGATAGGCCACGTCAGAAATATGCTAGGTAAAAGGTACAGGTGGGAGGTACAGCAATAGTTCTGAAGGTGCTACAGGTGACTGCATCTGGGCAAACATTGGGTTAAATTCGGGGGTGAATGTGGCTGACGTCCTCCCTGGTACCTGCCTCCTAGCTGTGCATCCAACATGGACAACCACAGAACCACCTTCCATCCAGTCGGCTCCTCGGTGACCCACCCTAATCACTTCCAGAGGTTTGACGTGAAGACCTTTGCCTTCATGTCAGAGGGCCGCGAGCGCTCCAGCCTGGTAAGTGATTAACGAGGCTCCTGGGACGGGTTGCTGTGAGGGCCTGGATTCCACCCGGCTCTCCTTTCTGTCTCCAGGTCCACTTCCACTGCAGTGCCTTCATCTGCACGGAACAAGCTCCCGACTCCCCTCTGTGCTCCGTGACTTGCCCTGCATCCTCCAGAGGCAAGCGAGGTAAACCTTTCAAGTCCTCATCCCTGTGAGTTTACTCAAAACAAGCCTCATCCTTTCAGAACTTAAATGAGGATGAGAGCCTCGTGCTTCACCTAGTCCCAGAGCCCAAGACATCTTAGAGCAGCCCACCCTACCTGTACGAGCCTGCGATGGGTGGGCTCTTGGGTGGTCCTATAAACAAGTGTGTTTCTGCACGTGGGCTGTAGCCTGAACTTTGGCAGACCTGACTCTAAAAAGGTCCTCTTCCCGAGTCTACGTAGACTCGGAACTTCAAGTTCTTGGAAGGCTCTTTGAGAATTCACCCTGTCTTTACAGTAAGGTGTATGCCCTATCCTGCAAAAGCAGGCACAGCTCCAAAGGAGCTGGGGCGCCATGGAGGTTGGCTCTAGGATGTCCGTGGTCTTACCGTTACCCATAATTCCAGCGGTCAAACTCGATTATCTCTGTCCAGCCACAGGGGTCACCGAGGAAGAGAAAACAGCAGTAAGCCTCCCAGGACCCATCCTCCTGTTGTCAGATGTCTCTTCAGTCAGAGGTATGGATTTAGAGCCTGGGCTACTTGGTGGACTCCAGTTCTCGGCTTCATGTCAAATTTAATTATGCACAGATGACACATGGTCATTGTAAACCTGAACATGAAAAGAAGAAAAGACTATCTCTTTTCCTAGGGGCAACTTCTGCTATGTTTCTTGTGCACCCTTCCCTGGGTCCCCTTTTAACACAAGTGGGACCATATATTCTGCAACTGGCTTTCTTTAAAGCTCATGTTAGCCATCCTATAGCTGTACAGAGACCTACCCCACTGTTAGTAGCTAAATAGGAGTCCATCTAGGTCACTTCTAGTTTTGTCACTAATGCCAGTTGGGATCCCCTTAAATCTTTGCTATATAAGAACTTCAGGATATGTTTCTAGAAGTAGGACTGATAGGTCAGAAGGCAAGCACCTTGCTACTGCCAAACTTGTTCCTGTTAATAGTCCGTGTCCTCACTCCAGGGGCTCTTCATTTTAGGCCTAGAACTTGAAATGAATCCTTAAATCCGTAACTAATAACCTGCAAGAGATCACACACTCAAGACAGCTCCCCACATCTGTTGGTGGCAGGGCGTGTGAAAGAGCAGGCTGGGACAGCAAGGTCCTTTCCAGGTAGCAGCCAATTGATGTTAGGTCAGTAAAAGCAAGTGAGGATGGCAGTGCGAACAGAGCTGAGAGACCAAGAGATTGGCTCAAGTGGTAAGACGTGCAAGCTTCCCCAGTGAGTCCCTTGAGGCTGAATTTCACTCTTTCCCAGGTAAGTCCTTTGAGGCTTCATTTTGCTTACACATGGGGAACCTTCGTAAGTAAAGCTTCAGCTTCAACTTAGGCTTATGATTTAAATAAGAGCTTAAAACTTGAGTGTCTCCTTCCTTTCCAGATGGTGTAGCCTCTATGGAGCACGGGACTGCTGGGTATGTGGCTTTCAAAACCATGGCTGCCGTGGTTGCCTCAGCAGGTGTCATGGCAACTCTAGGCCTCATCCATTACCTGAGCAAGATGAGAACCACGACATTAAACCGCTAGCTGGACTGTCAAATAAAGTGGTTGAAATCAGCCTCTTGCTTCTATCTTCTCATTAACATTAGATGGGGCTCAAGGGCTGTTTCTTGCAGTCCTTCTTCTGTAGAGCGAACACGGTGCCTTCCCACAATCCTCCGGGCAGCCTCTGGTGTGTGTGGACGTGAATAAGGAAAATTGTGACTACTGTTTCCTGTTACTTCGTTTTTTCTGATCTCTACCCCCAGAACTGGCAGTAGCATAGAATTCAGTTATCAGTGAGGCTTAGCTACAGCCCACGTCTGGGGGTGCGTTTAGGTGACTGCCTTTCACCCCTCCATTAGTACATACAGGATGGGGATGGGGGGCAGAAAGCCACCCCTAACTGTTGGCATAATTTCCCTTCTTTGTAAGGGAAGGGAAACCAGGTGTTCCCAAGGCAGTCATCTAGCATCCTGCTTAGGAAATACAGTAATACCTTGATTTGTGAGCATAATTCGTTCCGGAAACAAACTACTTGTATTGCAAGACATCGCTCGTTTACCACGTTAAAATGTATTAGAAATGTTTGCTTGTCTTGCGGAACACTCGCAAACCACGTTACTTGCAATCCAAGGTTTTGCTGTATTCCCTAACTCAGGTTACTCTTTCAAATAAGTAGACAACTTCTCCTGAGAATGTGAAGGCATTCAGTCAGATTCTCTCCTGGACTCCCAATCCAATTAAAGACCAGGAGTCCCCTTTGGGGGACGGGAAGGAAGGCTACAAGGCTGAGGCAACATTCTGAGTCTCATCAAGACTCCAGCTGGACGCCAGCCTCTTTGCTGAGCCTGGAGAGTTCTCACTACCTACACTTAGTCCTTACCTCCTCCTGAGACTTTTTCCTGGGGGTGACCCATTTTCCTGAGGGTGCCCCACCTTACGTTAGGCTGCGACTACCTACCATCTGTATGACCAGTGTCTACTCACACTGCAGCTCTAATAGCCAACATTCGAGATATCCAATACAGAAATAAACTCACGTGTAGCCTTCCACTAGAAAAGCTATGGATGGAAACTAGAACTTTTGCTAGGGAAAAAGTTTTTAGCCCTCTGCGCATGGCAGGGAGGTGACGATAGAAATACAGAAATCTTTAGTGTTTGTGAACTCTCTTCAACCCTCAACTGTGCGTTGTCATGCTCTTGGGTTTTTCAAAGCCTAACCTTCGCGAGGAAAGAATATTATATACCCTTGGTCACCGTGTGACACTGTAGGTCTTTAATATTGAATTCTTTGGCCTTATCTCCCAATATGTCCTTTCATTCTAAATCCATTTGTTGGGTTTATGTGGTATAAGTCAGCCCTGGTCGGGCAGGGGTGGGGGTGAGGGGTTGGGGAGGAGGAAACAACTGTACATAATATTGAGTGAAAAGTCTGGTCTTTCCAGAGTAAAATGTCAAAAGTTCAAGTCATCTCCTCAAGGCCATTATTTGGGCATTGCTTTATAAGGGAATAAGGCATTCTGCTAGGGATACAGCAAGCAATGGCTTTGGCCTTGCATTCAAACTTTTCTGCGTGACTACACCATGCTAATGTTACACGCTAGAACCAGAAGCACTGCATGTGTTGTACTTCTTAAAAGGGGATTAAAAACCCCCCCAAAAAACTACCCCTTAAATGGCTTTCTGACCCAGTGTGGTAGGCTGAATAATGACTGTCCCCAACACATCCACTTCCTAATTCCCATAAACTGAATATTGTTACCATTACATGGCCCCGAATGGACTTTGCGGATGTGGCTAAGAGCCTTGACATGGAGAAATGATCCAGGTGGGCTCAGTCACAAGAGCGCTTATAAAACAGGCAGGTGGGCAGAGTCAGATGTCCCAGCGGAAGCAGAAGTCACTGATGCGGCCCACGAGCCAAGGAGTGCAGACAGCTTCTAACAGCTGGAAAAGCAAGGATGTGGCTCATCCCCTAAAGCCCCCGGAGGGAACCCAGCGCTGCCGCCCAATTTTGGCCTTCTCACTTCCAGAATTGTGAAATAATCTGCTGTAAGCCTCTAAATGTGAGCTATTTGTTACAGCAGCAATAGACAGCGGATACTCCCTTCATGGGTCACTCACTACCCACAACTGGAAAGATTCTTGCAAGAATCTTGAGCCCTAATGTCTCATCCACAAGTTGGTCTATTTGTGTAGAGTCAATGGTCAAGATCAAAGTGACCCGGACCTCAAGGGCAGGACTTGGTTCTGATGTGTGCCACAAATGCTGAGGCAGGACTTTGAGGGAGGAAAGGCAAACTGGCCGTGAGCTGCTGCCGGGACAGACACTAGTTGCCATGGCCGCCGGGAACAAGTGTAACGAGCCACTGATGAGAGTCATGTTCTGGATTCTGCTGGGACATGGGGGAGGCAGCCTAGGCAGCAGAGAGGGACTGTGTAGAAAGAGGGTGCACTCACACCCTAAGGGGCTGCTGCTGCCTCATGTAAACTAGGGTGTGCTATCTCCCTCATCAGTGGCGATGGGCTGTGATTGGAACCCAGTGCCAGGAGGTACGTGAAGGGCCTTTGGGATTCTAATTCTGTACTGGGCAGTTGGATAGTAGGGGGGTGCCAGGGCTGAGAATGGACTGTGCGCCTTGGGCAGCCCCCTCTAACGTCGCACTTTTTCTTCCCTGCCCCATTCTGCCACTGCAGGCAGTTTTATGGAGCACGTGCAGAGGCTGGGCTTGCCTTCCAGGTCTATGTCTTCCTCCCTGTGTGACCCTGGGCAGACGGAACACCCTGTGGGCCTGTTTCCACATCTGTACAATGGCATAAAACCTGCTTTGGAAGCACGTGAGTGTTCAATGAGATAACCAGCGTGCTGGTTGGTGTGTAGGTGAAAAACGCGCCACACGCTAAATCTGACAAGCTCAGGGGAGGCCAGCAGGGCGGGTCCCATAAACAAACTCAGAGACCAAAGGTAACCACATAGGATGGTCTGAACATTAAAATTTCTAATTAAAAGTGAGTCAAGGCGAGTAGTCATATCCTGAGCCTGTAGCTTCCTTGACAAAGGGTAATCTTTCCCTTAACTGAGCCTGTTATCTTTTTGCATCTAAGATAACATACCCTTGCAATATCAGCATCTTCTTTTCCAGACCCCTCTGGGCACAACCCACTGCACCAGAGCAGGAGACCACAGAACCCCTCACTGTTACCTTGTTCCCCAAACACCATGTACTGTAAAATGCTAATTATCAACTATTCCGTACCCACAAATATAACAGAGGTGTGTGTCTCGCGGTTTACTTTTTATCCAATCCCAGAAATTTCCCCACTTTGCTTTCAGCCGCCCCCTTTATCTACCACCCATGGATTTCATGTAAGCATCCTTATGTCTCTCTTTCTTGGATTCCAATATGGAAAATAAGCTGCAAAACTTACATTCTCCGGAGCATTTTCTCAACCCATTGAGATTTTTGCTTCCTGGCAACTGTCATAAGTTTGGCTCAAATAAACTCATAAAAATTCTCCACACGTTTGGACGTTTCGTGAAGGACCTGCCCAGTCAGTGCTGGAGCCATTTAAATACCAAGATGGCAATAGCACTGCTCTAGGCACTTGCAAAAAAACCTGTGAGATAATATCATAAACAGTAACTGTAGGTTGGATAAAGCTATTAATATGCACCAGATGTCCACGTCACTGTGAATATTACCTTCTATGGCAAAGGGACTTTGTAGACATTATTAAGTTAAGAATCTTGGATGGGGTGCCGGCCGGGTGGTGCAGTTGGTTAGAACACGAGCTCTGAGCAACAGGGTTGCCAGTTCAATTCCCACATAGGCCAGTGAG